ATTTATTTATGATAGTCACAGAGAGAGAGAGAGGCAGAGACACAGGCAGAGGGAGAAGCAGGCTCCATGCACCGGGAGCCCGACGTGGGATTCGATCCCGGGTCTCCAGGATTGCGCCCTGGGCCAAAGGCAGGCGCTAAACCGCTGCGCCACCCAGGGATCCCTGGATCTTCTTTTAAAAGCCAGTTTGAGACGTCTGGGTGGCTCAGCGGTTGAGCGTCTGCCTTTGGCTCAGGGCGTGATCCCGGGATTCGGGATTCGGGATCCGGATCCAGGATCTAGTGCCGCATGGGGCTCTCTGCAGGGATCCTGCTTCTCCCTCTGCCTATGTCTCTCTCTCTCTCTCTCTCTCTCTCTCTCATGAATAAATAAATAAACCTTTAAAAAATAAAAGCCAGTTTGGGGCGCCTGGGTGGTTCAGTTGGTTGGGAATCTGCCTTCAACTCAGGTCATGATCCCAGGGGCCCCGCGTCAGGCTCCCTGCTCAGTGGGAAATCTGTTTCTCTCTCTCCCTCTACACAACCCCCTTGAGCTCTCTTGAGCTCTCTCTCTCAGTCTCTCTCTCAAATAAATAAATGAAATATATATATATATATATACATATACATATATTTAGTCAATAAGTTTGTTCCCCGCTGTCAGTTTTTACCTGAGACACTGGTGGGGAAATCTGAAGTGGGTGGTGTTAAGTTCAGGGGGTGCTCTTCTTTGCTCCTTGACAGCAAGGGAAGGAGGAGGAGCCAGTGGTACCAGAGGCAGGGAGGATGGTCTAGAAGCCAGTTATGCAGGCCACATCCAAGGTGGTGCAGAAACAGGAGGAGGGAGAGGGGGAGACAGAAGAGGTGAAGTACTGCCAGAAGGCAGAGAAAAGGTTCCTGGTTCTAAACCTCATCAAGACGGCAGAAGAGCAGACACCATGTTTTTTTTGTTTTTTTTCCCCACCAAAATGGAAATATGCAGTGCATGTCAGGCCAGAGAAGACATAGGGAATCTCCCTTAAACAAAGAGAGTTTTGGCAACTGCTTGGGAATATTCTTTAAAGTCCCTGTCCCAAGGTGGACTAACCACAATTGGCTCTAGTTATAGCCATTAACTCCAGGAAATGGGGAGAAGCCCCCACATCTATTAGGATGAAGAGCCTGTGTTTCCTCCAATAACCTGGGTTTATTCAGAGGCGGCCTATTTAGATAATTATCATCCAAAACATCAGGAGGAAGCTCACATTCTGCAAGAGGCCCTTAGATTGGTCCTGATATAGATACCTAGAAGGGTATCTCAGTCCTTTTGCCCTGTTTGCTGCAAGAAGAGATCTGATAGGTCCTACTGAGACCATGTAGTGTTCCAAGAGATCAATCCTCTTATAAATTTTGCAAGCTGAATTATTTCCAGTAGGTTAAAAGGTATCCCAAGGGAGAATCCTTAGGAATTTAAGAAAAGAGAAGCCCATCACTAAAAATGCTCCCAACTCTCTGGTGGTGTCCCACGCAGGAACCTCTGACATATCAGTAGTGATCGATCAGAGGTGTCCTTCAAACAAAAATCGCTACTGATCACCATCCTATCTTATCATAAAAGGCCCTGTAGGAGGGATGCTAGCGTCCCCTTACTTCCCCATTGGATCCTAAGCTATGGATGGGTGCCTGACATATGAACTGAGTAATGGGCCGTTAACCCATGGAAAACATTAGAAAAGTTTTACAAAGGGGAAATTACCTGATTTCATAGTTGAAGTAGTAGAGGACATAGAGGGAAAACAGTAAAGAGATGTTTTAAGCATGATTTAAACAATATTCCAACATATGTAATCTTTACAGCCAACTTCTCTAGGAAATGTCTCCGTTGGGTTTTAATTCAATCTGATAATGGTTTCAGCCAGTTCTGGGTGGAGGTCTCATGGCCAGAATTGGCTAGACCAGAGACATAGAGGCCATCACCTTAGACCAATGAGGAGGAAACCTTACACAGGAGTCATAGGATTGGCAGTGACACTAGTCACTTAGGTGATTGTCCTGTGCCCAAGACAGCCAACTTAGTATAAGGACAAGAATAAAGACAGGGCATCAAGTTTCTGGGTCTTATTACCATTCCAACCAGGGTACTAACTTCCTGCCAAAAGCCTGGCTTTTTTCCTCCCCCTAGAGTAGCCATGAGTTAAGAGATTACAGCCTGAGTGCAATCCAGATGAAAGTGTTCCAAGAGGATGTACTGCTTGAAAAGCCCCTGTAAGGAGAGTAAAGAAAGAAGAAAGTATTCACCAAGTTCACAACGAGGTTCACAGTCCAGATGAAAAGACTCAAAGTCCCATGTTGGGCACTAAATGATGTAGTTTTGAGTAGTGTATTATTGGGGGCCACCTGAGCCGAAGGCCAAGAATTCTTGAGACATCTTTAGTGCAAAAAAGTTAGTTTTATTAAAGCACAGGGACAAGATAAGATCCCTGGGCAGAAAGAGCTGCTGCCCCAGGTTGTGAGGGGCAACTGGTTGTATACTTTGGGGTGGGAGGAAGTAAAGAGAAGGGACGTTCCAAAAGGATTTTCATATGCTAAAGAAAACCTACAGGATCCTGGAGGCCTGGCTATTGTCAAGCTAAGGTTGTTTTGCTCTAGCAAGACACTAACATTAAGACAGTTGGGAGTTTCCTGGAGGAACCTTATACTCTGCTTGCCTCAAGTATGTGTCAATGGGCTGCAGGTTATAAGGTATTTAATTTTATCTACATTTCCCTCTGCCTTTGTATCCCACATTACTTTCACATGCCTTTCTTATACCTTAGGGTAAATATTAAGCCAACAGTAGTGGTACTCCCACTTACATAAGGGGCATAAGTTAGGGACGCCTGGATGGATCAGTGGTTGAGCGTCTGCCTTCAGCTCAGGTCATGATCCCCTCCTGGGATGAGTCCAGCATTGGGCTCCCCATGGGGAGCCTGCTTCTCCCTCTGCCTATGTCTCTGCCTCTCTGTCTCTCATGAATAAATGAATAAAGTCTTTTTGAAAAGGGGGGGGGCATAAGTTATAGGGAAATAACCCAGGCTTGAGCCTTCAGGAGCTGAACCTCTGGCAAGAAGCCTGGAAAATAAATACAGTGTGAGTACCCTCCAGGGAGCTTTCTTCTGTGCCTGCCATCGGGGGGGCCCTTCTTGTCCTTCCATGATGCCATTACCTTATTACTGTCACTGCACCTGGCACCTATATTGTATTATAATCATCTTTTAAGAGTCTGGCTTTCTTCACCAGATTTTGAGCTTCTGGAAGTTTACATGTGCCTTATTCATCCTTGCATCACCAGTAACTAGCACTCAGTAACCTCCCAATAAATGTTCACAGTGGATGATGGTGAAATGTGAAGGGGTGTGATCTTTTCTTCCACCTGGCAAGCTTAGGCCAAGCATCCTTCTTTTCACACTCTCAGAACACCTTCTTCCTCTTGCATCCCTCTGTTTAATGCCACATTCCCAGGTAGATCAGGTGTGTGTGCCATGAGGGCAGGGACAGAGGGTTCAGTGGACCAGCCTGTCCCAGAGTACAGTGGGTCACCCTCAGTCTGGAAGGGTGCAGAGCAGGATGGGAGAAAAGGAGTGGGTTTGAAGCTTTGCCCTGTGCTGTTAGCTTCATGTGTGCATGATGCTGTTGTGGCTGGTTATCATCAAAGCTAAAATCTAGAATCATTTCATTGTCAGTGAACCTTATCTAATCTTGAAACAAGTAGAATGTTTCTGCCCATTGGTCACAAAATCCTATGCTCCTCCATATGGTACACTTATTTCAGGTATGAACAGTTGTGGAATGAGTAGATTTATTTGTGTATATACATAACACTCTCTCTCTTTCTCTCTCTCTTTCTCTCTCTCTCTATATATATAAAATCTAAATGATTACATTTACTCCTATTTCCTATTTGAAATTTAGTAACATTGTTTGGCTTTCCCTGTTTTTATAATGCCTTCATTTTATGGCAGTGAAATGCAGTTTCTTTTATGTATGGCAATGAGAGGTGCTTAATTTTTATCTAAAAGTCAATTTAAAGGAAAAACTAAATGATACAAGTATATGAATATATGAAAAAAATTATGAAGCACTATTCAAAAACTAAGTCTTTTTTTTTTTCTTTAGGATTTTATTTATTCATGAGAGACAGGGAGAGGCAGAGACACAGGTAGAGGGAGAAAGAGGCTCCACACAGGGAGCCCAGCGCGGGACTCAATCCAGGGACTCCAGGATCATGCCCTGGGCGGAAAGCAGGCACTAAACTGCTGAGCCACCCAGGCGTCCCTAAATAGTCTTTAAGCAGAATAGAAATTGTTGACCAAGACATGGCTTAGCCTGAGTGAAGTAAGCCCAGGGTCAGCCAGTGTGCTCCACCTTCCCTACTGTCTGCAAAAATGATATAGCAAGTGTATTTTCCTTAGGAAAGGATCAAATTTTTCATCATATTGTTCATCTGTGACCCAAACATGATCACAGACTTCACAAACTACTACAGCTATTCAGCTTTTTTCTGATTCCATTGCCCACCAAGGAATCTTCGGATTCCTAATTTACTTATAATCCTAATTACTACCTTGCCAGGTCCCTTGACTAAAATAAGGCAGTGTTCTGGACAGGAGATTCATGAGGTCTGGTTACAGGAAATGCAGACCTCATTTAAGATGAATAGACAGACATCTAGTTTCCAAATTAATCTCATGAAATTCATCAGCTTGAATCCATCTTATTTAGCCTGACCAAGTTTCTTAACTTAAAACGAGGAAAACAAACCTTGGAGGTCAAGTGTCTCTCTTTCCTGGTTGACTGACCCCTCTGAGGGCAGGGGCTGGGAGTCCTGTTTCGGTAACTTCCCTAGTTTCTAGCCCAGGGCCTGCCACAGGTGGACAGGATAGAGAAAGGAAACCAAAGCTACTTCGCCATAGGAAGGGAGGGATGACACACACACCGGGACAACATCCCTATGTGGTGGGATTTCCTTGGGTTACCAGGATGGACAAAAAGTTAACCAGAAAGTGAACAGCAGCATTGTTTTTAATGAGTTTTAGTCCAGAATACAAAGGAAGGCACTAGTTGTTGCCCCAACTTGTTAGTACAAGGATAAACAATAGCTTTTTGTTCCCCCACAAGGGCAAGTTACAGAAGGATACCAGATGGACAAGATAAGACATTTGAATCTAGTTTTGAAAAATCAGCCTGAAACCTAGCAGTAGTACTGTTGCAGGGTAAAAGGCTCTCCCTGTACTCTTTGCCCTGCACCCACCCCCATTTACCAATTCAAAATCTGGGACTTTCTTGATCAAGAGATTCTATGAGCGAATTTCTCTCTTGAGACTTTTCGTGGTCATTTTTCTTGGTTTTGCTGCTGATGTCCTTGACCTCAGTCGCTGGATGAGTGAGGGAGCTGGTGGAGCTCTTTAGGAGTTCTTCTGAGGCACTTTGATTGTGACCTGTAAGGGGGGTGCAGAGCAGCTGTTAAATCTTCACACTTCCCTGTGATCCGCGGGCTCTCTAGCTATGTACTGCCTGAGGATAAGGACAAGGGCTTCCCTGACTGCTGATACCTTGATGGTCAACCAGTCAATCCCAGGAACACAGCCAGGGTTATGTTCTGCGGGAGAACACTCTCTGCCTCCTCTTAATCCAGTCATTTCTGATTATCAGGAGACAGAAGAGGATGGGACTGCTATGACATCTAATAGGCAGAAGTCAGGAATGCTGCTCAACACACATCCTACACTGCATAGACAGCCCCCACAACAGAGTTACACAACCCCAAATGTCAACAGTGCTGAGGTTGAGAGACCCTGACCTAGATCCATATTTTCTCCAAAAGGATCCAAGTAAGGAAAATCATAACATGCTGAAGCTCGCAGGTGTCTCAGTGTGTTAAGTGGGAAGATTCCAGACTCAGATGGATTTGGAGTTAAATCCCAGCTTTATGCCCTACAACTCTGTGCTTTGCTTCCTCATCTGTATGATGGGATAAACAAGTGTCTCCTTCATGGGGTTGTTGTGAACACTGCTGCATAAGGAAGTTTAGCAGATTCTGGCACAAAGCAAGCTTTCAGTAAAAATGAGTTTAAAAGAAGACATTTTCTCAGCATTTCCCCCTGCAAACTTGACTTCTCTTCCGAGAAGTTTTTGATCCTATTTTTGTTAGGATTTTCACTTGAGTTTCCAAAGCTCAAAATACAGGAAGCCCTATCACAAGCACAAAGCACAGTGCCTGGCACTGGGCTGAAGCAGCTTCGCTTCCTTCACCTGCAGCCTCCAGCCATCAAGTCCTGCCACTTCTTCTCTTCAAAAGCTCCTTCCTGTTCTCCCCAGCATCCTCCCACTGAGGTCTCCAGTATCAGGAGCTTACACTTGGATTGCTGCATAGACCACCTCAACTCAAGCCTCCTCTTTTTGGGCTCTCCCAATTCCCTCAGGTCAATCCTTAGTGCTGCTGCTGGGGCTCAGACCTACTACCCCCCAACCCCGACACCACACCTAAGTAATCTCATCACTGTTTCCATGAACGGTTATAGGCCAACGTCAGGTTCAAATCTGGATCTTGCCTCTTGTATATATGGGACGATTTTAAATAAATAAGCAAACAGGTTTATTTTATACCAGTGAGCTTCCTGAGAATACAAGTTGTGGCTTACCACTGAGCGTTGAATGAAGACCACTGTCTACCCTTCTCATCCTGCTCCCCCGGGCTAAGGTCTGCTTGCCCTGAGCCTTCTCTTTGCCAATCTTGGAAAAGCCCAACTCAGCCCATTACTCTTTACTTTGAATATTACTTGTGAATTTGTTTCCTGGTTAAACTGTAACTAGTGTCCATTGTAGAGCAAATTATTCTCACTTTGGTGCTATTCTTTCCTGTCTTTTCCATAGTTATAAATAAAGGTACCTGAGTATATATATGTATGTATAGTCTTTAAACTGGGCTTATACTGTATATATTACTTTGTATCCTGCCTTTTCACCTTTTTTTCTCTTTAAAGATTTTATTTATTTATTCATGAGACAGACACACACACACACACACAGAGGCAGAGATGTAGGCAGAGGGAGAAGCAGGCTCCATGCAGGCAGCCCGATGTGGGACTCGATCCCCGATCCTGGGATCACACCCTGAGCCGAAGGCAGACGCTCAACCGCTGAACCACCCAGGTGTCCCCCTGCCTTTTCACTTTTTTTTTTCCCTTAAGATTTCATTTCTTTATTTACGAGAGACAGAGAGAGAGAGAGAGAGAGAGAGAGAGAGGCAGAGACACAGGCAGAGGGAAAAGCAGGCTCCATGCAGGGAGCCTGACGTGGGACTCGATCCCAGGTCTCCAGGACCACATCCCAGGCTGAAGGCGGCACTAAACCGCTGAGCCACCGGGGCTGCCCCATTTTCACTTTAAAGGATGATGATTTTCCATGTCAAATATTCTACAAAAATGTATTTTTTAAAGATATATTTATTTGAGAGACAGAGAGGGAGGGAGGGAGGGAGGGAGGGGAGGGGCAGGGGGGAGAGAGAACCCTGAGGCAGACTGCCCTGAGCACAGAGCCCAATATGGGGCTAGATCTCACGACCCTGAGATCATGATCTGAGCCAAAAGCAAGAGTTGGGCACCCAACCCACTAAGCCACCCAGGCGCCCCTACAAAAATATTTTCAATGGCTACTTAGTAAAACATGATTTGATTGTTCTATAATTTATTAGGCATTTAGGTTACATCTGACTTTTTCATCTTTGAGAGATAATGTGGTGATGAATATTTATGGAATAACACTTTCTTCGTATTTCTTTTTTTTTTTTTTTTGTATTTCTGCTTAGTCCTTCAGGCTATATTCCTATCATTGACATTATGAAATCAAAGGATATTAATATATTTATGGCTCTTGGTCTCTAATGCCTCAAAGCTTGATTCTTTTTTTTTAACTTTTAAAAAAAAATTTTAAGGATATATTTATTCATTCAGAGAGAGCAAGAGAGAGGCAGAGACACAGGCAGAGGGAGAAGTAGGCCCCATGCAGGAAGCCTGATGCAGGACTCGATCCCAGGTCTCCAGGATCACATCCCAGGCGGCACTAAACCGCTGCACCACCGGGGCTGCCTTCAAAGCTTGATTCTTATTAAAGCTTTTCCCCACTGCTTCAGCACATTGGGATCTTTCCTCCCTCTAGAGTCATACAGCACTGGACGTATAATAAAGCCTAGCAAAGGACTAGGTGGGCATAATGGTGGCCAGGTCCCAAGATATTTCTCATGAAACAGAGCAGAGACTGGATCTTCACCCTTTTCTGTAGCTTCTGTAGCTTAAAACAAGAAACCAGTAATAAGTACTAATGGAGTCCAGCACAAGGCACCAATACTCACAGTTTTCACTTCCGTGTATGCCTGCAACCCATACTCTCCCAGCTCCCGGCCACTCCCAGACATCTTGTAGCCACCGAATGGTGACTGGGCCCCAAATACATCATAGCAGTTGATCCTAGAATTTGAAACAAGATTTCAGAAGTAATTTTTAAGAGGTATGTGTCATACCCCTCAGACATCCTGAATTGCTCTAAAATATTGAGGAAAAATGGATGGGTCAAACCACAGTTATAACCAACCACGTAGGAGCCACAACCAAATCACATGAAATAAAGCCATAAGTCATTGCCCGTCATGCTGTGGTCACAGATGAATGTTAGTAACAGGGTGCACCGCATCATAGCTTACCATTTTAATGAATCACTTTCGTTAATTAGGTACTAGGCTTTTCTTGCAGTTTTTAAAAATTATTAAATTTTAGTTTAAAATTCACCACTTTGAGGTATGCAATTCAGTGGATACAGTGTTGTACAACCATCACCTGTATCTAATTCTAGAACATTCCTATCACCCCATAAAGAACCCTGTACCCCAAAGCAGCTATCCCCCACTTCCCCACCACCCTTCCAGCCCCTAATCTATTTTCTGTTTCTATGGATTTGTTGATTCTGGACATTTCCTATAAATGGAATCACAAACTCTGTGGCCTTTTGTGTCTGGCTTCTTTCACTTAGTATCATGTTTTCAAGGTTTATCTATGCTTGTAGAATGTATCAGCATTTTATTCCTCCTTATAACTGAATGATATTCCACTGCATGGATAGACCATATTTTGTTCACCCATTCATCAACTGATGGACATTTAGGTTGTCTCCATCTGTTGAATATTGTCAATAATCTGGTATGAACATTCAGATTACTTTTTTATGTATATGTATGTTTTTATTTCTCTTGGGTATATATACCTAGGAGTAGAATTTCTGAGTCTTATGGTAATTCTACATTTAACCTACTGAGGAGCTGCCAGACTATTTCCCATAGTGGCTGCAACATTTTACATTCCCATCAGCAAAATGTGAGGGTTCAAATTTCTCTACATCCTCATCAACATTTGGTATTTTCTCTTCTTTTAAAATTACATCCTTCCTAGTGGGTGTGACATAGGTGCTAAGCTCTTAAGACTAGTATTACACATAGGTATAGACCCTCAGCTTTGGTCTCCCGCTCTTGTGCAGCTTGGTAAGGAATGCCCACCCTAGTCATCCATCTGCTTGCCCAAGAACAAAGCTGCACTGGCATATGTACTAGAGGGAAGTTTAATCTCCTATAGTAGAGGGGATGGGAAATCTCATCTGCTATATCACACACTGACCCAGGAGAAACTGAGCTCAGAACCCCAAATTCTGCGGTATGAGCTAGATTCCAGAAGACCCTGGTTTGGGGATCCCTGCCTGGGCTGTAAGGGGCTGTCAGGAGGCTCTTACCAAACAGTGCCAGCCTGGAGGGCTTGGGACAGATAATTGGCTTTGTCCAAGTCCTTGGTGAAGACAGCTGCAGCCAGCCCATACTTGGAATTATTGGCTCTCCCAATAACTTCCTCTATGGTCTTGAACTTCAGGATCTGCATCACTGGCCCAAAGATCTAGAGTAAAAGAGTACACAGTGGGGAGGGTGTGGCAGACACAGGAACCACCTACCATCCAGTTTTCACAGTGCTGAGCAGATGATTCCAGATGGAGCCCCCAGGCATACCCGAACAGTTCCACAGGGAGACAACAGCCCCCAAGCTCAATGAAGCAAAGGGAAGGAAGCTAATGGGCATTGGTTACATTCTATATGCCATGTGTTTTACTTAGTTGATCTTTTGTGAACAAAACAGGGTCTCTGCTCTTGAGACATCCAGGTTTATCTTGTACTTTCCCTGCCCTATTCCTGGAAGGAGCCATTTCTTCAAGGAATCCCAGTTCTTTTTAGTGGAGAATGAGATTCAAAAGCCAACCCACAGTGTATTTGCTGCTGCCAGGGTGTGGTGGCTCTCAGCCCTATCAAGGGAGAGCCCTGGGGTGGAATGGTGTTCTGATATAAGCAGGGGGTTAGAAGGAACCATTTCTCTTGCACAAATGGTTCAATGAGTGCTGGGAGACCACAGGAGTTCCTGGACTGCATGGAAAGGAGGGTATCAGGAGAGGCTCTGTATAAGTGATAATCCAGCTGTGATACAACAGGGACAGAAACTGTCCAAACCAGAGTGGAGACTGGGAGCAGGGAAGAGGGAAACGGAGTTCCAGGCATAGACACACCCAGGGCCTATCCTCGTGAAATCCCATTTTCCACTAAAAGAAAGGAGGACTTCTTGAAGGAATGGCTGATTCCAGGACTGCCTGGGGAGTATCACAACAGAAGTAGGAGAAGAGTGCCAGGAACTCATCATGGTTGGAGCAGGACTGTGAGATGGGGCATCATGCATTTGGGTACCCCACCCCCAACCTTCTGGAAAAGTGATATTTGAGATTTTTAAAAAAGCATCAGGGCAGCCCCAGTGGCTCAGAGGTTTAGTGCTGCCTTCAGCCTGGGGCGTGATCCTGGGGACATGGATCAAGTCCCATGTCGGGCTCCCTGCATGAAGCCTGCTTCTCTTTCCCATGTCTCTGCCCCGCCCCCATAAATAAGTAAATAAAATCTTAAAAAAAAAAAAGCATCAAAGTAGTAATGATAAGAAAAGAGGCAGAACTCTATTGGACTTTTTACCCTGATTCTGCATTTTAATATTATTCTATTTTGAATTATACATGAAAGGGGAAATATCTTCCCTGCAGAAGGCTGCTGAGGGGCCTAATCCATTGGAGGAAGGGGAGTAAGTGTGGACCCCATGAAGGCAGGGAACATGTCTTGCATAGCTCTGAATCCCCAGGGTCTGTAGAGAGCCTGGCACATAGATGGCATTCAATAAATATTTGTGAAATGAATGAATGAATGACAGAGCTGCTGCCCTACATTCATAATGAGTGCCAAGGGGGAGAACATCAGGAATCTTGCCATGTGGGGAATCACAGCCATGGGGTCTAGTCCAATGTCCCACTTATATGAAGATCATAAAAGGGCTGAGAAAAATCATCCCTTGACTCATGGCTTGCAGGGACCAGAACACAAAGGGCCTAGATGCTGTGCAAGGGAATTTGGAAGTTCTCCCCAGCAGTGCATAGCCATAGGGGTAGAAGAGGAGAGTAACCAAATCAGATAGAATCATAAATAATTTGTCTTAGGCACAGAGCCAGGATTTGGCCCAAAGCCAGCTGAGGAGTCATAGTATGAAGAAGCCATACTTAAGTGTCCAATTCTCCTAAGAACATCCCCCTGAGGGTTGGCCCATGCTAACCTCCTCCTTGGCGATAGTCATGCTGTCTTGCACATCTCCAAACACGGTGGGCTGGATAAAGTAGCCTCGGTCAGCAGCCGCCCCTCCACCACACAATAGTTTCGCCCCCTCCTCCTTTCCAGATTTGATATAACCAAGGATCTTCTTAAACTGAGTTTCATCCACCTGTGGGAAAAAAAGCCCAAAGTTTCAGAGATGCTAGACCCAGACCTCCCCTAGATTGAGGTTTAGAACCACACAGGCAATGAATGAGACAACTGAGCCATCAGCCAGGCTTAGAAATAAGCAAGGCTGAGTAAAGGAACTACAAAGGGCCAATAAATATAAGAAAAGGTTCAGGGGCGCCTGTGTGGCTCAGTGGTAGAGCGTCTGCCTTTGGCTCAGGTTGTGATTCCAGGGTCCTGGGATCGAGTCCTGAATTGGACTTTCTGCAAGAAGCCTGCTTCTCTCTCTACCTCTCTCTGTGTCTCTCGTGAGAGAAAGAAAGAAAGAAAGAAAGAAAGAAAGAAAGAAAGAAAGAAAGAAAGAAAGAAAGAAAGAAAGAAAGAAAGAAAGAGAAAAAGGGAAAAAGGGAAAGGGAAAGGGAAAGGAAAAGGTTCAACCAACTTTATTCGCCCTTAAAGAAATGCATATTAAACCTTGCTTTTATTTTCCAACTATGAGGTTACTAAGAATTCAAAATAGTAAGAAAATACATGTGCTTGCTTTGGCAGCACATACATTAAAATTGGAATTATAGAGAGGTTAACATGGCCCCTGTGCAAGGATGACATGCAGATTCATGAAGCATTCCAGATTAAAAAAAAAAATGTAAGAAAATATACTGACTGCAAGGGTAGGTTGTATAAATCCTAATATCCATATGTTCTTAGAAGGACTAATATAATGTCATTGTATCTCAATTAAAAAAAAAAGGCCTATAAGCTGGTACAGCCCTTTTGGCAGGTACTTTGTTAATACTGGTCAAAAAATGAAATGCTCATAATCTTTGACCCAGCTATTTAACTTCTAGGAATTTATTCTACATGTCACAAAGGGACCTAAACAAGGATATTCACTGGGGAGCACTTTGTTTTTTGTTTTTTTTGTTTTTAAGATTTTATTTATTTATTCATGAGAAACAGAGAGAGAGAGAGAGGCAGAGACACAGGCAGAGGGAGAAGCAGGCTCCCTGCAGAGAACCCAACGTAGGACTTGATCCTGGGTCTTTAGGATCACGCCCTGGGCTGAAGGTGGCGCTAAACCGCTGAGCCACTGGGCTCCCCTGGGGAGTACTTTGCAAAAGTAAAAAACAGAAACCATTCTAAGTATATATCAGTTGAGGAACTGGCTAAAATATTTACTGTGTGTGTATATAATATATATCATGTCCCTGTTAATAACAGATCTGAGGCCCCTGGCTGGCTCAGTCGGTAGAGCATGGGACTCAATCTCAGGGTCTTGAGTTCAAGCCTCTTTTTGGGCATGGCGCCTAGTGGGAAAAAAAAAAAAAGTTTTGGGAACTGACCCAGAAAGATAGCCTAAGGTATTCTGTAAAGGTGGGGGAAGCTTGTAGATCATGTTATATAATCCTATTTTTGTTAAAACAAACATACAAAAATGTAACTCTGTGTGTATGTGTGGTTAATGGGGAATGGACATGGAAGGGAGCCAACGGCGTCTTATTCTTTCCTTTAAACATGTTTAATTAAAATTTTTATACAAGTTTATATTACTTTAATAATTAAGTAACCACAAACTACAAAGAAAAATGAAAAAGAAAAAGATGTTGGGATTCAAAGTAGCACTATTCAGAAGTAGAAGCAACCCAAGTACCCATCAGCTGTAAGTAGGTAAAGAAAATGTGGTGTGTCTATACAATGGTATATTCCTCAGCCATAAAAAGGAATAAGCTATCAAGTCACAAAAAGACATGGAGGAAACTTAAATGCACATTGTTAAGTACACGAAGCCAATCTATAAAGGCTACACATACTGTATGGTTCCAGCTAGAAGACATTTTGGAAAAGGCAAAACTATGGAGACAGTAAACGGATCAGCCTCGGCTTGGGGGTAGGGGAAGGATGAATGGATAGAGCACAGGGGAATTTCAGGGCAGTGAACTACCCTGTATGATGGGGTGGTGGATACATGTCTTTATATATTTATCCATACCCACAGAATGCAACACCAAGAGTGAACCCTAAAGTAAACTATGGACTTTACTTAATAACAATATATCATATTGGCTCATTAGTTATAACAAATGTAGCACATTAATGCAAAATGTTAATAATCTGGGTAACTAGAGGGGTAGGGGGTGAAGGGGTATATGGGAACTCTGTACTCTCTGCTCATTTTTCTATAAACCCAAACTGCTATAAAAAATGTCTACTAAAAAAAAAAAAAAAAGACTGGTCTTGGCCAACCCTGGAGCCTGGGAGTGGACACCAGTAGCAGGCACCCTCAGGAGGATACAGCCTATAGAGAAGCACCCATGGGCCCCAAAAGTAGATGTAGGGACTGGTGGGACCTGGGAGCACCCCTGACCCTGCGGACTCTGCTTCTTGCAGTGGGGTAGGTGGTGGCTGGAGGTAGCCAGCACAGGACCCTGTGAGGAAGAGCCCAGGACAGGCAGGGTCTAAGAACAATGCTGGACATGAGAGGAAATGGTGGGCAGAGGCACTATCTTTCTTTTTGTTGTAATTATTATTGACTTCATTTTTTTTAAGATTTATTTATTTATTCATGGGAAACACAGACTGAGAGAGGCAGAGACACAGGCAGAGGGAGAAGTAGGCTCCTTGCAGGGAGCCCGATGTGGGACTCGATCCCGGGTCCTGGGATCACAACTGAGCCGAAGGCAGGCACCCAATCGCTGAGCCACCCAGGAGTTCCAACTGTAGTTTTGATTAAAATGAGTATGAGCTCAAAGTAAAGAAAAAAAAAGTATTTTAAATCAAGTATCTCAGTACAACATAAAGTGAAGTAAAGTCAGGGTGCCTGGGTGGCTGTCAGTTAAGTGTCTGCCTTCAGGTCAGGTCAAGCCCCATGTCTGGCTCCTCACTCAGCAGGGAGTCTGTTTCTCCATCTCCCTCTACCGCCTGCTTGCTCATGTGTGCTCTCTCTCTCAAATAAATAAAGTCTTTTAAAAAACCCAAAAAAGTAAAGTCCCTCTGCTACTCATGCCATGGCCTCTGCCCCACTCCCCAGAGAATCACAGTTAACAGATAGTATGTGTCCTTCTGGAAGATGCATTTTTATGCATGGCCAAAGGTCCAGGAAGCATGCAGTCTTTTTTACACAGACATTCCTAATATTTATTATGTGTATGAAATATACGAACTGGTTTCCATTATTGATTTCCACTTCAAAGCCAGTCTGTGAGTTAAGAAAGGTGGTTATTACAGAGGAGAGAACTTTGGCTCAGAAAGGGCACATGGCTTCCCAGGGACACACAGCTGGTACATACAGAGCTGACACTTAAAACCAAGCCTGCCTGCCTCTGAGTCTGAGACCCTTTCTGTTTCTCCATGCTGACTCCAGACACCCAGACCCATCTGCAGCAGGTGACCTTACCTGCGGCCCCTGCTCAGTCTGGTTGTCAAAGGGGTTCCCAACTACACGCGACTTGGCCCTGGCAACACTCCGCTCCACAAACTCAGCATAAACATCTTCTTGCACAAAGGTCCGGGAGCCGGCACAGCAGCACTGGCCCTGGTTGAAAAACAGGGCAAAGTGGGCCTGCTCCACAGCCCAGTTCACTGGGGAGGCAGAAAGGCAGCAATGAGAAGAGATGGAGGATGAGCCTGGCCCCAGTATCTGCCCACCCTCTTAACCTGTTCGTGGCACCAACAGCACTGGTGCCTCCTGGGTGCCAGGCAGTGCCAAACAAGACAGACCTGATCTCTCCCTTCTTGGGGTATGGACATTCAGCAGACACACAGACAGAGAGGAGGTCACAGCCCCCCGTGGTAACAGAGACCCGGGTGGCAGAGGACCCAGCCAGCGCATAGCAGTCAGAGAAGGACAAATCGGGGTGCCTCGGCAGGACCAAGGAAAGGGGTATGAGGGAAGAGGAGCAGCCTGGGTCAAGTCAAAGCATGCAGTACAGCTGGACAGCTAAGTAGCTCAGCCCAGCTGGGTGATGGGGAGCAAAGAGGAGAGACCGGGGACAGACAGGGTCATGCAGGCTGGAGGGCCCTGCTGCAGACTCTGACCTTCATCCTGAGGCCAGGGTGGAGGGGAGGCGGGGTGGCGCAGACATGGAGTCCAGTGGTTGCCAAAGTTCGCCTAAGTGAACTGCAGTATGGATAGCAGTACGGCTGCCTGTAACCCACACCTCCTCCCGGCAAAACACTTACTGTCTGCATCTGACATGATGATATTGGGGCTCTTTCCTCCCAGCTCCAGGGTCACTCTCTTGAGGTTACTGTTCCCTGCAGCAACCTGGACTAGGTGGCCAACCTGTGGGCAGGCAGGAACACAGAAGAGCACTCAGTAGGAAGGAAAAAGAACTTTTTATTTTTTTTATTTTTAAAATTATTTATTTATTTATTTATTCATGATAGAGAGAGTGAGAGAGAGAGAGAGAGACGCAGAGACACAGGCAGAGGGAGAAGCAGGCTCCATGCCGGGAGCCCGACGCAGGACTTGATCCCAGGACCCCAGGATTGTGCCCTGGGCCAAAGGCAGGCGCCAAACTGCTGAGCCACCCAGGGATCCCCCAGACACTCTTTTAGACACAAGACAGAGGACCCCACAATGAGGGAGCAGCTAGATTACAAGACTCCCTGGAGAATTTCACCAAATCTAGCTATTCACTTACCACTGCTGACCCCCGCCCCGAGCCTCTACGATGACGGTGATCATAACCACATGAGCAATGTAGCTTCTATGCTCTGAGTGCCACCTGCATATCAGACCCTGTGCCAAGTGCTTTGTGTTCATTTAGTTCAGTCCTTGCAATGACCTCAAAGATAGGCATGACTCTTCGCCTTGGTTTAGGAATGTGGGAGCTGCAGCTCAGAGTGGTCAAGTCACCTGCCCAAAGTCACACAGCTGGTGAACGTGGAGTCACAGTTCACACTTGGGCAGTGTGAGTCCGTCACCAGTTCAAACCACGATCCTGCCTACTTCCCACAGTGTTAAGTGTGGTCCCCAGCCCATGGCACACTCCGTGAGGGCAAGGATGGGGTGTTCGTCGCCTCCTTATTTCCAGAGCCTGGCACAAAGCCGCCCTGAACCTATCTGAATGAACGTATCTGTCTCTGTCAGGAAACCACCCCTCTGTGAGATTCTCAGCATGACCTTGAGGCATTAACTTGGGCAACAGAAAAGCAAGGGAAGAGCTGGGACTGTGCTATCTTGGCTTCTGTTCTGCTGTCCCAGAGCTGCCATCATTGAGCACAGACTGAATGATGGGCAGTATCTGTCTCCGGGAAACGGTCTGAAGAGCACGTTCATTATGTTATTCAGTGTGCCTTCTCCGAAGTCAGGCGATGAGGCCTCCCAAGAATTCAAGGAGAGAGAGGCACCTGGGTGGCTCAGTCAGTTAAGCATCGACCTTCAGCTCAAGTCATAATCCCACAGTCCTGGGACTGAGCCCTGTATGGGGCTCCCTGCTCAGCGGGGAGTCTGCTTCTCCCTCTCCTTCTGCCCCTCCCCTTGATCTCTCTCTCAAATAAAATCTTAAAAAAAAATAGAAAAAAAGGATTCAAGGAGAGGAAAAGGACACTCTTCAGGAGGAATTCTGTCCCTGCTTCAAAGGAGACGATGTGTTTGTTTTTTTTTAAATAATAAATTTATTTTTTATTGGTGTTCAATTTGCCAACATACAGAATAACACCCAGTGCTCATCCCGTCAAGTGCCCCCCTCAGTGCCTGCCACCCAGTCACCCCCACCCCCCGCCCTCTCCCCTTCCACTACCCCTAGTTCGTTTCCCAGAGTTAGGAGTCTTCCATGTTCTGTCTAAAGGAGACGATGTTAAAGGAATCCCCAGACATCTTATTTGTCCTTGTTTCTCCAGGGCCTGGCACAGAGCCACATGATACTCCTCACTCACTCATTCATTCCCTTGCTGAGTACTTACTCTGAGCTAGAACTTTACTGATCATGTCATAAACTTCATCGCCCTCACTCCAATCCTGTGTGGTAGGTGCACTTATCCCTATGTTACAGAGGAGACAGGTGCTTCGGGAGGCTAAGTGACTTGCTCAAGGTCTCACAGCCAGTCAATGGCACTGAAACAGTAAGACTCCGGAGCATGTGATCTTCCCCACTACACCATATACACCATCTCCACCACCTAGATGTTGCCACCCTCATTTTATTTTTTAAACATAAGATTTTTTTTTTAAGATTTTATTTGTTTATTCATGACAGACACAGAGAGAGAGGCAGAGACACAGGCAGAGAGTGAAGCAGGCTCCACGCAGGGAGCCCGATGTGGGACTCGATCCCAGGACTCCAGGATCATGCCCTGGGCTGAAGGCAGATACTCAACCACTGAGCCACCCAGGCATCCCACCACCCTCATTTTAAAGACAACAAATGGAACCCCAAAGACATTCAGTGAATGACCCCATATCATAATGGCAAGGCTGGGCTCTAGATGGTCTCGGCCTCTTTATTCCACGTGGGATGCTGGCCCCCCACAACAGCAGCCAGAGTGTCAACCAACCCACAGAGGGCTGCTGGCACATGCAGGGCCTTGTACTCAGTCTGACAGTCACTGCTGGCACATGCAGGGCCTTGTACTCAGGCTACTCTGAGGCAGTCCTGGAGGGCCCTCCGTGCAGTACCCAGAGACTAATCTTCAATGTTCTCTGAGGACAGTGGGAACTAGGGCCAAATGTGCCACAAGCTTGAGGTCCTGGTGATGCCTTACCTCGGTGGAGCCTGTGAAGGCCACTTTGTCCACATCCTCGTGGGAGGTGATGGCAGCCCCAGCTGTGGGGCCAAATCCAGGAATAATATTGACCACGCCAGGAGGAAAGCCAGCCTGTGGGCAAACAGCCAGGGACACTGGGAGTCATTCTCCTGCTCCAAAGGCTTAGATAGAACACACACCCTTCCCAGAAAGGCTAAGCTGCCTGCCCAGGCCCCAGGTAAGCAGACACCAGTCTTGTGGGATGGACACAGCTCAGAAATTCCAAATGGTACAGCAGAGAACCTGGTGGGGTCCCTGTGAGTGTTGTCCCTCCCCAGTGGCATTCACCTAGAGCAATTTTCATTCTTCAGAGGGGTCTGGCAGTGAAGCACAGTGTAGACAACAGGTAAGAGGGGCCACTTCAGCTGGCCTGTGATGAGGTATGGGGAGGTGTCAGTCCCTGGTCTATAAATACCTGCCCCACTTTGCAGCCCCCAAAACCCCTCCTAGGAACCCCCAAGGAGCAAGCATGTACAAGGGCATTCAGAGATCAAGACAGACACAAAGCCACACACCTCCTTAATCAGGTTGGCCACATAGAGGGCAGTGAGTGGAGTCTGCTCAGCTACCTTCATCACAATCACATTTCCGGTCGCCAGAGCTGGGCCCAATTTCCAGGCTTGCATCAGGAGGGGGAAGTTCCACTGCAATAAACAACACGTGCTCCTAGAATCGAAGCTGAGAGCTGCATCAGCCAGGGGATGTGGCAGCCCAGGGAGGAGAAGCCTCACCGACTTCTCTGACCCCCTTGTGCTACCCTCACAACTCAGTTATGAGTTTAAGACAGATGGACATGGCAGGTGGATGAGAACAAGAATGACTCATGCTCATTAGAGCTTTTCCCATAGTAGGCTCCAAGCTATGTTGTTGCATTTTATCCACCACTGCCTCCCCCCACCCCCTTCCCCACTGCCCTAAGAGTGCTATGTTCCCTTCCGCTTTTCAGATAACGAAACCGAGTCTTACAGGGTTAAGTGATTCGCCCAAAGTCAGAGTCCACACACGGCAGCACTGGTTGGCTTTGTTAAAGCCTGTGTTTTTAACCACCACCCAGGCCACCTTCCCACATCACTCTGCAGACCCTCCCAACCTTTACAATCAGCCTGTCTGAGATCGCTGCATCTCAAGGCACTCCTGATAAACCTTCATTCGTTTATTATGAGGCTAATACTCACCGGAATGATCTGCCCGCACACCCCGACAGGTTCATGGCGGGTATAACTGAAAAAGTCCCCATCGATAGGAATGGTTTTCCCATGGTACTTATCAGCCCAGCCAGCATAGTAACTAAAAAAAACAAAAAATACCAAAAAACAAAAATTAAGCTTAATCAATGACTTTCAGGGACCCCTGTAAACCCTGGCAGAAAGAGAAGACTCATACAGGCCCAATTAAGTTTTTCTGATCATTGCCCTTGCTCTTGGCTTATTCCAAGAAAGACTTTCTGGGTAACTGCTAGGATCACAGTAATCCACTCTGGTCAACTAACTCTAAGCCTCAGAATCACCTGGGATGCTTGTGAAAAACACCATATTCAAGGTGCCTACTTCTAACCTACTCAATCCGGAGCTCTAAGGCTGGTTCCCCAGGAATTGGTGTTTTTAATAAGCATTCAGATTAAACTGTGACTGTTGAACCAGTCCAGCACCACAAGACTAGCATTTGAGAACCACGGGTTGAATCTGGTAAGGAAGTGAAAACCTATCCAACTATCCAATGGCTAGCACTTCCTGTGTGCAGAGTCCTAAAGTCAGACTGAGGGAACAGCCACCAGAAACAAATCCTCACCTGGCCCAAGCCCTAGACACAGGGACACAGGTGACAGAAAAGCTCAGCACATGAGTGTGGGGGAGAAATGAGCAGCATGGGTTTCCAGTATGTAATGGTTAAATTTTCAGGGAAGTAGGAAAAACAAGAGAAGGGATAAGATGAAATGTGGGGTAAAAGGAAGAGCTCTGAAATGACTGGGACGGCAACACAAGTCTGAGCCCCAAGCTGACCTGGCTTTGAACACAGGGCTGTGAGCCTGGGGAGAAAAACAGCTAGGGAGTCGCCAATCTAGCCAAGGGAAGGCACTGCCGGCTTCCTTCCTCCCCGTCAGTATTACTTGTGTTTTGCAGGCCCCAGAATGGTTACTTAATCAGCACAAGGGCATATTCCTAAAACTCAGGAAGGCACAGGATGGAGCCTGAGCTTCACCAGGCTGCTCTCCTGAGGCATCCTTGCAGAGCAATCTAATCTTGGCACTACTGTCATTCGGGGCTGGAAAATTATTTGCTCTGTGGGCCATGCTGTGCACTGTAGGCTTTTTAGCAGCCTCCATGGCCTCAATGCACTAGATACCAGTAGCACTCCCCCTCCCCCCGCCCCCGCTCGGGCTGTGACAATCAAAAGTGTCTCCAGACATTGCCAATTGTCACCCAGGAGACAGGACTACCCTGGTTGAGAACCCATTATGTTGTCCAACCCCTACTTTTCTGGTATTGCTTCTTCCCCTCCACCTCTGTCCACAGGGTCACAGGGGGAGCAGTCCAGTCATTATTTACACAATGATCTGTCCACCAGGACCATAGCTGGTCAGGTTTGAGGCCAACCAGTCAGGGTAGCATTTGGTCCCTCCTTCTGGCATTAAGACTTTGGCATTTGGCAGGAATTTGGCACTAGGACTAAGGGGTTGCAGTGTAGTCTAGTAGGATCATGCATACAGAAGCAAGCCTAGGCATGGGCAGCCAGGTTCTAGCAAACACACTGGCCCCAAAGGCGGCCAGGGAAAACTGAGAAGAATGAAGCAAGAGGGCTGAGAAAAGCCACAGCATGGCTTGGTGGCCTCCTGGATTTAAGACCCCTGAGTCTCCGCAGTGCCTGAGTCAAGCCGAGTCTTTGTTACCTCCAACCAAAAGGACCCTAACAAAGCTCTTATTCCTCATCCTGTATTTCTTGGTCATTAAGACATTTGATTACACTAATCCAAAAGCTAGCAAGGAGGAGGAAATAATAAAGACTAAAGCAGAGGCAGATGAAAGGGAGAACAGGAAAACAACAGAGGAAATCAACAAAACCAAAAGGGGGTTCTTCGAAAACTCACCAACTTGACAAACCTTTCACTAGACTAAGACAAAAAGGCAGAAGACACAAACAGCTGAAATCAGAAGTGAAAAAAAGGAATCACCACAGACCGCACAGAGATAAAAAGGCTTTTAAGAGACTATATGAACAATTGTAGCCAACAAATTAGATAACCTACATGAAATGGACAAATTCCACCTAACAGAAAATTACTGAAACTGCCTCTAGAAAAAAAGAGAAAACACTTATGAGTAAGTTGCTGTTTTGACACTGAGGGGTTTTCTCATAAGATAATCTCAGCGAACATGTTTCTCCCACTCCTGTAATCCTGTTACATTATTCTATTTCGGCCCCCCCCTCCCCCCGCAACACCTGCTCCCATGTGGTGCAGCCAGAACAAGAAGCAGGAAACCTGAGCCCATACCGGAGGCATCTGAGGACCATGTCCAGATCCACAAGGTAAGAGATGACATAGGGCTTGCCATTATCCAGGGTCTCCAAGGCCTGAGAAAAAGAGAACGGTCAGCACAGGCATAGGACTGAGTCAAAGCGATGGTGACAACTGGTGCCCAAGCTCAGCACAGACCAAGAAGGGCTGATGGCCACTCTGTGCCACTGAATGCTGTGGCACTTCTGGCCCAACACCCCTCCCTCTCCAAAGGTGGAAGAATGAGGGGTGAGGAGAAGAATGGTGTACCAGCTTCACATGTGGTCATTTCATATGCACATGTTTTCTAGGTTTGGCTCTAAGCCAAATGCAGGTAAGAAGAGACAAACATGAGAGCTGAGAGAGCAAAGCACCAGTGAATAATAACGTGAAGCATTTATCACAAGTATTAAGAGTGCTAGAAAGGAGAAGCCCAGATGCCCAGCCCAGTCTGAGAAACAGCCTCCCTCTAGGCTAAAATCTGAAGGGTATGTAGGAGGTAAGTAGGCAAAGGGGAAGGTACAAATGATGACCAAGCGAAGAGCACCCCAAGCAGAAGGATGTGCAAAGGCCCCAATGGCTCAAAGAAGCCTGGCAGTCAAGCCATTGAGGGAAGGGTGGTGAGCTGAGCTCTGTGTGTGAGGGCCACAGCCCGTCATTAGTTGGGAGACAGAGTCAGACCAGGCAGGGCCTTGTAGACCATGTGGAGGGAATAGGGCATTATCCTAAGGATATATAGGATGCCATAGAAAACTTGAGAGTGGAGCACCATGGTATAATTTGCCTTCTAGAAGGTTCACTCTGGCTGCTATTTGCAGATTGGATTGGGGAGTGGTGGGGAGAGGGCTTTGCCTCCTGGTTTCTTCCGCCTGTGGCAGCCAGAGAGAAGGCCCACCACACACACAGGGGCTCCGAGGGAGGCGTATATCCCTGGGGGTTTCAGGGAAGGCTCCCCATTGTGGCACCCCTCCCTGCCCCCCATCTCCTCCTTTCTTAGCCATCATAGGAGACAATAAGAGGCTCCTCTAATTGGAATAGCAGTGTACCCCAAGTGTCCAGCCTATGCCATTCTGATCTGTTACATGTCAGCCATGCAGCCCCTTCCTGGCTGTCTGTGGGATGCTCTGAGCCTATTCACCACATGGGATGAGAGAGGAGGGGGCTGAAAACTCACTGCCAGATAGGTCCGGTCTCGCTCAATCAGATCTGCCAGGCGGTTCAGCAAGCGGCCTCTGTCGGATGCGTCCATGCGGCGCCAGGGTGAACCTAGCTGGAAGGCAGCCCGGGCAGCCTTTACTGCCTTGTCCACATCTTCCTGGAAAACATCCACCAAGACAGCTGAGGCCTTCTCAGTGAGAACTGCCTCCAAATATCATTCACCCCACTGCCAAGCACACCCACAGGGCTTTAGTCAATACCGTGTGGAAACCTGCCCCAAACAGCCCTTCCCCACCATGAAGGGCTCTGCCTGACGAGCTTCAGACTCTCCTTTCCAGGAGTTAGGAAGAGAATGAGGACCTGACAGTTTCTGTTCCTGTATTTTCATTTCAGAATTCCCCAAAGAGTTTTAGAGGGAAACATTCAGGCATCATTGCTTAGAATTTGACCATTTTCCCCATCTTTGTAAGAAAGCAAGCCCAGAGAACCTAACCATTCCTTCTAAGATAAATGGCAGTCTCCACTAAACACAGGTTTAACCACCTTCCCTCTCCTCTGGGGAAGCAGTAAAATCATCACAGCTAGCATTTTTCATATTGGGAGATCTGTATCAAGAGGTTTGGGAGCATGGTTTTCATTAATATTAAATATATTTACCATCAGACTACCTTATAAGCCAGAAAAGTACTGTATTCACATTTGCTTTTAGCAGAGGGAGCAGGGCTTTATACACGAATATAGAAAACTGTCTTAAAGCAGAGGTCAAGGACCATTCTTAAGTTATTTCCAGTGCCTCTTCTTTTTAAAAATTTATTTATTTATTTTAGAGAGGGAGTGAGCATGAGTTGGGGCAGAGGGAGAAAGAGAGAACCCCAAGCAGACTGCCCAGTGAGTATAGAGCTCAGGGGACACTGAGATCATGACCTGAACCGAAACCAAGAGTCAGACGTTCAACCGACAGAGCCACCTGGACGTCCTGCAAGTATGTACAATTCCAATAGAATACACTACCAACACCAGGCTAGATCTCAGGAGACCAAATTCTAGTCCACAAGATTCCTCTATCTAGGTGTGTACCTCCCTTCTCTGACCTTCACCTTCTAGGACTAGAAACGATAGACTGGATTAGATGTCCCAAATTCAGTTGCAAGTCTACAATTCCACAGCTGTCTGAATGACTGAACCTGGGTATAATCTAGTACCTTTGCCTGAAGGAAGAGTTTCTGTTGATTCATTTACTCAAAAGATATTCATTGGCATTTTGAGTCATGAAAGTAATGCACACGGCAAAGTTTGAACCACATAAAAACATATAAAGTAAAAAATGAAACCATCTTGCCTGTTCCCGCCCTAAGGGAGATCACCAGTTCTCACCTTATCTCCTTCAGCTACCTGACAGATGACTTCTCCAGTGGATGGATTGATGGTGGGGAACGTTTTCTTGCTGACAGCATCGTGCCACTCATTGTTTATGAAGATCTACAACGAGAAGGAAGAAAGTTCTTAGATCGGCTCTCAACCCAACAATGACAACCAGCAATATAAATTAAAAAATCAGAATGTGAATTAGCCTCAGAGGAATGTGGCATGAGGTTTAAAGCCCCAGCCCTGGAGACAACCAAGTTCGAATGCCCAGTCTGCCAAACAACCTTGGGTAAGTCATTTGACCTTGTTCTTGTTGATCTGAGAAATGAAGAGAATGTACCTACCATATCCATTTATCCATATTGTTGTGTAAGATGTCAAAACTCAGTGGCTTAAATGATTCATTATTCTCTCACAATTGCATCCACTGATTGGGCTCAGCTGCACAGGGCTTGCCTGGGCTCACAGAGCAGAGATGCCCGGGATGGGCAAGAGAGCTTCTGCACCACATGTCTGCTTGGGCCTCCTGGCTGTATGGCAGACTCAGGCTAGTCAGCTTTCTCCTAGGACAGCTGGCTTCCCCAGAGAGTGTTCCAAGGACTCAGGCAGAAGCTGAAAGACTTCCTAAGATCCAGCTTCTGAAGTCACACGACCTCATTTCTTCCACTGATCAGTGTGAGTCACAGGCCCAGTCCAGATCGCAGGGGAGGGGGTGGGGGAGCCTCCACTACTCCTTGGGAGGAGCAGTAAAAAAATTTGCAACCATCTCTCCTCTGCCACACCACTGCACAGGGTTGTTGTGATAAAGGGGTCAGATTATTCTTTTACCATTCAGTAAATATGGAGTGAACATCTGCGATAGGCCAGGCACTGTTCTAAGGCTGAAGACACTGTAGAAACTAAAGCCAGTAAGGACCTTTGTCTCTCATGGACCTGGTGTTCTGTTCTGGTGGATACAGACAGTAGAGAACAATCAAATACACAAGACAGATTGCAGTGGTAGGTACAAAGAAGGAAAATGGGATCCACAGAGACTACTAAAGTAGGGGAAGATAAAGAACTTTAGATAGGATGGTTGGGAGGGTCTCTCTGATAAGCAGATATTTCACTCAAGCCCTGACTGATGACAAGAAACCAAAAACAGGAAAAGTGGAAGGATTAACAGTCAAGGCAGCAACAAGAGCAAGTGCAAAGGCCCTGGGGTAGGAATAAGTCTAGTGCATTTGACAAAAAACAAAAGTGGCCAGAGTTACCCGCAAACCAAGAAGGAAGGGCTAGTAGATGGATGAGAGAGGAGGGTGAGTCCTGTGAAGGCCTCAGTTCAGCACCTGGCAGCAATCATTGCTGTTGCTGTTGTGAGGATTAACAGCAACCAGGTCTGGAGAGAGACTGTACACTGATTTAATTAGGCCAATACCAGGGAGACGGAAGCCCCTTCATTCACTCAGAGAAAAGATCCTTATCCAAAGCTGCTTAATTAAATGCCAAAAATCACTCTGCTTCTAAGAGCCAAGCAATATTCTCAAGGGAGAATAGGGAACTCTCTCAGCAAGCTGTTCCCTTTCAGGCTGGGGAAGCTGGTCTGGGAGTGGCAGACACTTTGTCACCTCACCAGGGCTGAATAAAGGTCACAGTCAGGGTGAACAGCAATTCAAGGCCACTCTGCCTTCCTTCCTCAAGGGCTCTCCTTGACCCCAGCATGGCCTGACTCTGGCTTAGGACCCTGGCAAGTCATCTCTCCAGTTACCCTGGGCCAGAATTCAGGACCATAAACACAACCAAGCCATTAAGCAAAATCTGGAGTTTGGCCAGCGCCAGAGATTTCAGAGCCAACAAGGCCCAGGGAGGGGCTTGCCTGGCTCCATGGTCAAGAGCAGGGTCGGGACGAGCACCCAGATAAACTAGGGCTCTTTTGATCCTAGTTGCATCATATGGGCACTCCACCTCCCTGTGCTTTCGCTTCCTCACCTATGGAGTGGAAATCACTGCAGGACCCCTCATAAGGTGGTGTGTGAGGGCTCCAGGTAGGCGTATACACCAAGCTTTGGGGCAGCGGGGAGTAGGTGTGCAATGCTGCGGTGGTGCCAGTGGGACTTGACAACCTGGGAAGGAGCTGATTAGGAAGAGGTCTACCAGGGGTCACTTTCTCAGGCTCAAATCTGGTATTTTGGCACAATTCCTGCCCATGATCAGAGCAGAATCCGAAGCTATACACACACCTACAGTCAAAGGCTCTTGGCATTAGCCAGAGTCTTTGGAAGTATGTTTGTGTGGGTTCACATTAGTTGCCTGATAATTAATCTTGAGAAAAACAACCCCTTTGTTGCTGAGAAGCAAGCAACCAACCGCTTAGTGGCAGAAAGAACTCTGGCTTGAACCGAGTGGCTCTGTGTCGAGTCCTCCAAGCCCTGTGCACAAGCTCCCATGAGAACTGGTTTCCCCCTCCTGCCAATTTCCAAGGCCAGTGCTCTTCACCTGGTTCTCCTCCAGCTGCAGCCTCCAGTCAGAGCCCAGGTCTGCCTTCAAAGAAGTCAGCACTCCAACCTCCTCGCTCCATCTGCATGGTTGACTTACTGCCCAACGGCAGGTTTGATTTTGAAGGTTTTTTCTGAGCAGTGTAAAAAGCACCAGCCTCTGAGCCCCCACAGACCTGGGTTCGAATCTCAACTCTGCCCCTCACTGGCTGTGACCTTGGGCCAATCCCTTCCCTTCCAGATGCTTCATCAGTCCCTGGGGAGAATGTCTGGGGGGCTGATGTGAGGATTAAATGTAACAAGGGGTGTAAAGCTCCTGAGCCAGGACCCTGTGTACACAGTGGCTCTTACCACAGCAGCCACCACAACAAAACTCTGGATCCTGTGGCTCTCTCAGGTCAAAGATTTTTAGGAGCAAAGGCCAGGCAGATCTCTATGCCTCTGCCTGTTATTCCCTATACCATAGCATACTAAATTAGTGTGTCCCAAAAAAGTTTTAATTGTTATTTTGCAAAGATCAGGAACTATGAAGCAGAGAGGCAGGCCAGTCAGGTGAACCCCCCAGTCCTCACCCCTTCCCTGGTCAGGGCCCACACTGTTTTCCTGATCTTCCAAGAAGCCTGTAGGAAAACCACTCCCTGGCACCTGTTTGCCTTTCAAAGCCCTAAACCTGCTGGGTCACTCTCCATTGTTGAATTTTCTACAATCCATCTTTCTCACTGATAAAATAAGCCTGAATTTGCCTAGCATAAACCTAGAATCTTCTTTTTTTTTTTTTTTTTTTTTTTTTAAGAATCTTCCTTCGGTTTCGAGTTCCCATTTCCCTCCTCCTAGAACCAGCCTTCAGTGGTCTCCCCTGCACTCCTTCAGGGATGGGGAGCAGGGTAGGAAATGTTCTCACCCTGAGGAGGGTGTGGGAGGAGAGTTTCACAGCATTCACTTAAGTAAACACAAGGGCTGATACCAGGCCAAATGCTTCATAACCTCCTGGCCCAAAACCCAAAGCTTGGCCCCTGTAACAGGCTGAACTTCGTCACCCTGGGAGGGGGTGCTCCCAGCGCACACTTCCTCATTCAAGTTTCTAGAAGCAGAGCAACATGCAGAGACATCCTAGCAACATCAGGAGCTCATGCTCTGAATCTGGACTACTGGCAAAACTCCTAGAGCTTTTCCATCAACACCCTGTATTTTCTACATATTTTAATAAATTCATCTCCCTTTATCTTGTACAAGCCGGACTCACTCATTCATGCAGCCAGTAAGTTTTAACAGAGTGTTATGCCCACGCCGGGTATGGCGTGAAAGAGCAAAGTCCTGGCTCCTTGAGCTCAAGTCCTGGGGAGCTGAGACACAATCAATGAGCAGACCAACAAAGCAAGAAGCAGCAACACACAGGCAACAGTGGAACAGGCCAGGGAGTCAGGCAGCACTCGAGGAATGTTCTGAAAGGAAGAGTTTGGAGACACGAGGAACCGAAAGGACACCATGGCTGCAGAGTAAGGGCGAGGGACAGGAGGAGGGGGCTCTGGATCCCACACCTGCCCTGGGTAGGGAGCTAGGGCTGCTGCACTATGAGGGGAACGGGCCAGAGGCAGGAGCATCAATTCTTGAGAAGGGATCGTTGACTCTCTGTCTTCACTTGGTTTTCTCAGTTTATCTTGGACATTCTTCCACAAACATATCGCCCTATTATATTTTAAGCAACACAGCATTCTTTGGTATGAAAAGACCAGGGTTTATTGAACCAGTTCCCACACATGCACTTTTAGGATCAATTTCACTATTCCTGACAGTGTTGCTACAGCACACGTCCTTGGACATGGACCTTTACAAACTTGAGACAGATGGCCGTATAAAATTCAGAATTGCTGAGTCAGAGGACAACACAATCCTTGGGCTGCCTCAGAAAACTGGGTGGTGTGGTGGGTGCCTAGAAGCTGAGGACCCAAGGAGGAGGCCTAACCAAGGCGAGGACATTCCAGTGCCGCCTCCACCCCAAGGCACTGGACAGTCATCTATGTGAGGTTTCCAGTAACAGGTTCAGTGGTATTCAGTAGCTCCAATTAAGCAGAGAGGATGTATTATTGAAAGATTTTAATTCAGGCTTTGATGCATGAAAGAACTGGGGATCTGTTACCTCGGAAATCTTCATCCCTGGAATATGCTACCCTCCCCAAGGATGAGGGAGCAAATGGGGCAGTTTTCTATCTCGGGGAGACTCTTGCTGGCATTTGCTTTTTTCAAGAGCAGTTAGGTAACTTATGTCCAACAGAAAACAGATGCTATATTTTGTTTTACAAGATTCTGAGGAGATAAGTTCAAGAAAAACACCGAATGCAACACACATTCACATTTCTCAAACCTCCAAACTTTGGGTTAGTTTAGTAGTAATGCTAAGGGCAGCCTTTCCCCCCAGACTTGCTGGAGACATTCTGGCATCTGACCCAAGCTCTCCCCTCCACTCTCGGCTCTCCGGGTCTTTTATTCTGCATTCCTAGATTTTTCAGCACATTCACCATGGGAGAATGGTGGGTTCTACTGTAGACTGTTTGCCTGGCAGTCATGCTTTCAATTTGTTGACATTCTCTGGGCTTATGATTGGCAACCTCTATCTTTCTGCAATCACTTCCCTTGGAAAATTTTAGCACTCCCTACACGTCTTCACATTCTTATTCATATTAACTCCCCCAAATTCTTTGAAAAAGGCCCCTCTGAGTGGAAATATTATGTTCCTATTCCTTGCTACTGGAACATAAAATTATAAAAAATAGTTTGAAAAATGGCAACCATTCATGCCTTCAATAAATATTTACTGAACAGCAATAATATTCTGATCTCGGTGCTAGAGGCTGGTAATAACACACATGAACACAAATGCGGCTCTTCCCTTCTGATTTCAAATATTCAAGTTCAGTTCCCCTAAATATTAACATCCTTGGGGCGCCTGAGTGGCTAGTTGGTTGAGCATTTCACTCTTGGTTTTGGCTCAGGTCAAGATCTCAGGGTCATGAGATCAAGCCCTGCATCTGTCTCCACACTCAGTGGGATTCTCTCTCTCTGCCCCCCATCCCCAATAAATATATATATCTTTAAAAAAATATTTACAACCTTGTTTGCTCATAGGGCCTGGTCACGAGGCAGCCCAGCATGTGGCTAAGGGCATGCACGTCAGAGTTGAACCCTGGTTTCATAATTAGTATTCAAAGTCCCAGAGCCACAGTCCCCTCATCTGAAACAGCTACAATACCTGTGCTTCATACAGTTATTGCAAGGATGAAAGGTGAAAATGTGTAGTTAAACATCAACACAGGGCCTAACAGACCCTAAGTGATCAGCAATCATATTATTCATCAGGGGATAGGTACACATGTCCACAGCATACACATCTGTCCTTTCAACCTGACCTCAATACCATAAACCTTCTTAAAAAAGAAAAAAAAAAAAGATTTTATTTTGTTTATTTGAGAGAGAGCATGAGAAGAGAAACGGGCAGAGGGAAAGGGAGAAGCAGACTCCCCACTAAGCAGAGAGCCCGATGTGGGGCTCAATCCCAAGACCCTGAGATCATGACCTGAGTTGAAGGCAGATGCTTAACCAACTGAGCCACCCAGGAGTCCCTCACAAACCTTTACAGAGCCCAATCACCCGTAACGCAGTGTGTTTCCACAGATTCACAGATTCCGGAAAGGCAGAAGGTGATGAAAGGCAATTACATTCATTTATAATATAATTATGTCAGAAGCAGAAGTACCAAGGTAGGTCTGGTGAAATCCTCTGATTCTCTGCCTTGCCTGAATCTATTATTTCTACGAAGGATCTTAAAACTCTTTCACAAACAATAAAACCAGTATGATGAATGTGGAGATATTTCACTTGACTCATTCAGCACAAAGCCACTTCAAACCACTGCTTAACCCAACATAAATTTTGGCTCATTATGTAAGAATCACCCAAGAAAAACAAGGAAAATCAAATTTCTATTCTGGATATACTACCTGTTAGCAGTGATTATCTGGAGGTGTGAAATATCAGAGGACTGTCTCTTTTTTTTTTTTCTTTTTATATTTGCTTACAGGTCACTTAGCTTTAACGAAATAAAAGATTTAAATAAAGCCAAAGTTCCCTTTAATCACTACCTGCAAACAGATTCCCTAAGCAGTACCCCCTCCAAAGGCTCTCACCACCTTCACACCAATGCACATATTTCTTCCAGAACATTTTTATACATTTTATTTTATTTTTTTAAACTTTATTTATTTGAGACAGAGAGACAGCGAGAGAAAGCACAAGCTGGAGGAGAGGGAGAAGCAACAACTCACTGAGCAGGGTAGCCAATGCAGGGAATCAATACCGGGACTCAAACCCAAGGCCCCAGGATCATGACCTCAGCCCAAAGCAGAAACTTAACTGACTGAGCCACCCAAGAGCCCCCATTTTTATCTATTTTATATGGAGATAGGTCTGCTCATATTCAGTGTAAAGTTTGTTTGGGTGATTTAATTAGCTTCCTATCTGCAGAACGCAGGACCCCTTCCTGCCTTGTCACATTGTTTTTGAGACCCATTATTCATCCAGTTCCAGATAATTCCTGAACTACTGCATCTATTGAATTGTTCCTTCCTATAACCATAGCACAAGTTGTTCTTTTATTTCCCCATGGATGGCAAGCAAGCTTCTTAGGCTTTCTCTAATGTAAATTATGGGCCAATGCTGCATGCTTATATTTCCAATGAGTTTCTACCTCATGGACTCTGTAATGCTTGACTTTTGGTACTGAGGATGTATTAATGTTGTAATCAGAAAATTCTATACAGGGAGACACTTTCTTTAATTTCTTTTTTGTCAGTTTTCTCTTTAGTTCCCAAGGGCTGTGGTCAGGAAGCTGAGAATAGGGACACAATTTAAGTCACCCCAAACTCCCATGCAACTTTACCACAACCTAGCTCACCCCTTCAGAAAACAACTTAAAACTACAACAGCACCCACATAATGGAGTCACATCACTATTACCTCATAAGCTCAAAAGCGTCACTGTTACCTCAGCCTTTACTTAAGGCTGTGTAAACATGGAGGCACTGGTCATGAAGAGCCAGGCTTGCTAAGGGCTGTATAAGGATGACTCCCACTCCACCCTCACAGCAACTCTATGATGTATATGGGATTTTTACCCCAATTTACAGATGTAGTAGTTGAGATACAGAGTTAAATAAACCGTACCACGCTCTGTATCCCCCTCTTCCCTGCCTTGTTTTTCTCCATAGCACTAATTGCCTTGGCCAAGAATGCACTTCACTTACCTGTCTCCACCATCCAGGCCACAAGCTTTCCACAGGCAGGGATTCCTATCTGTTTTGTTCATTGGAACAGGGAGCACTCAGGAAATGTCTGTTGAATGAATGAACCTGGCCAAGTCAACACTAATGAGTGGCAGGTGATCTGAGTACAGAGCGCAACACAACGGTACCTAACAATATTCTGGTCTTCGTTATTATTATCAATCAACATGGGGAATCAGGAAAATGGCAGAATGGGAGGATCCTGAGCTCACCTTGTCCCACAGACATACCAAGATAACAGCTCCATCTATGCAGCCAACTCTGAAAACGACCTGAAGACTGGTAGGGCAGGCTTTCCCACAGTTCATCATATACAGGAGGCCATGTTGAAAAGGGTAGGAGGGACAGACACACAGTTGGCAACCAAACCCCTGGCAAGACTAACCACAAACAGGAGGGTTGCCACAGCAAGAGATCGGATCCTACACTAGGTACGCGAGGCACTGGGTACTCACAATTGAGAAGACAAATCCCCCTAATACCTGGCTGTGAAAACCAGTGGGGCTTAACTTCAGGAGCTTTAAAAATCAGCAGGGCTGATTTAAGTCACCAAGTCAGGAAAGAAAAAAAGAATGAGAAATGAAAATCAGTTTGTTGATAGAGGTGTGTCCCTGAAACCGCCAAAGATAAGACATGTTGATCTTCAAGAAGCCTGGCCATCATCAGCTCCCCCTACAGGTCCCTGCTTGTAAGCGGGGGGAAGGAGAGAGTGTCCCAAATCTTCCAATCAATAAGTTTACCCCACTCTGCGCCCTCACCCAAGACAAGTAAAGGCAAGAGGACCCGAGGAAGGTGGACCAAACCACCTCCCTCTACCTCTTTTGGATTGAGAGAAGGAGGTGGGAAAGAGAAGACTTGCCACCTGCACCACTCCCACCCAACCAGGTGAGACCCAACAAGCCTGAACTGTGACATTCCCTCAAAAGCCCAAATACTCCTCCAAATGCCTTTGGCAAGAAAACCTACCCCGCAGAAGCAACTTCAAAGCCGGATGGAAGAACTCCTCCTTGGGAAGCTCAACTCTAGAACAGTTCATTAAACTTCAAGGACCCAGTAACACTTCAGGAAATGTCCAGGAATACGATGTAGTTTGTACCTAGAGCCCCTGGCTCCTAGAGACTCAAAAATATTCAGAGTAGGTTTTGGCATGCTTGCCAGCAGCATTAGCAACAATGCAACTCTGAAAACAGCCCAAGAATTTTAAGAAGAGCCAGTTTCAACATGGTGCCATGCATTGCAACCTTGGGAAGAATAAAAAAGATAACAATGTACTAACTGAGAAAGATAACTCAGATACATTGTTCAATGAGACAGTGCTCCAGAACAGTAAGTGCTAATATCTCATTTATTTAAAAAAAAAAATCTGGTGCATGTTTGCTCACAGGCATGAACACACACACACAAAGAAAATGCAAGATCACAGACCTACCTGTTAACAGTGGCAGTGCAGTGGGGGGTGTGGGAAGCTTTACAGTACTCTGTATTTTTACAGCAAGCAATTATTACTTTTATAATCTCAAAAAACTTGATGCAAGGAGCTGCAGGAAGATTGCACTCCTCTCCCCCAACTTCACATCCCAGACTAAGGAGAGCAAGGCTCATGCTATCTACAAGATCCCTGTGCATGTACGTTGGGATGCCATTTCCTCATTTCCATGTGACCACAGAGGAGGAAGATCTTTTTTTTTTTTTAGGATTTTATTTATTTATTCAAGAGAGACAGAGAGAGAGAGAGAGAGAGAGAGAGAGGCAGAGACATAGGCAGAGGGAGAAGCAGGCTCCATGGAGGGAGCCCGACATGGGACTTGATCCCGGGTCTCCAGGATCACACCCGGGGCTGAAGGCGGCACCAAACCACTGAGCCAGCCAGGCTGCCCAGAGGAGGAAGATCTTAATTCGATCTTGTATCCACAAAAGGCCTGGGGTGCTGGCATCTTTCCCTTAAGGATATCTCTGCATAATCTTTCTGATGTTCAAGTCTCCCGAGCATCAACTCCTCATTAAGCAGCCTACCAAAAGAACAACAGCTGCTAAAAAAAAAAAAAAAAAAAAAAAAAAAAAAAAAAAAAAAAAACAGCTGCTGCATTTGGGGCTTGTGTTCCATAAAGGGAATTTTATCTCTTGTTTTTATTCCCTCGCAAATGACTATTTGTAACACTCCTTACAATTACACAGGTATGCCTTTACCCACTACCTGTATGCAGATTTGCAGCCCAGCTCTGGGCCAAACGAGCAGGTCCACTTGAAAGAAGTCCACCCAGGATTGGCTCTATGGCATCCTGAATCAGCACTGACCCCTCTATTCCAACCCAGAGGCACATCAATTGTAGCACAGAATATTCTGGTTAGAGGCTTTCTTTTGGGAGTCTAGATGTGAACCCCAACTTTGCCACTGGCTTCAATCTTTGGGCAACTCACGAAACCTCCCCGTAACTCTGTTCATCTATAAGATGGAGATGATCACAGTGTCCACTTCACTGGGCTGTTGCAAGGATTAAGTGGCAAAACAGAACCATGCCGGGTGCACAGAGAAAAGGAGCTGTTAGTACTGTAAGTGCTCACCCACTGACCCACTTCCCACTTTACAAAAGAAGAAACTGAAGCTCACAGAAGGGTAGCTTGTTGCACATACAAAAACGAAGTCTTCACATCGATTTCCTTCTCTGTGAATTCCGGCACTTTACCCAAACTCAAAGATCAAAAGAGAGAATATTCCGAAGCAAGAATAGCAAGAATTTCTGCTTAAGCAAGAAACTGGCCTCTGGGAAGCGGTGTTATCCTGGAAAGCCCCTCCCCGGTTTGCTGGAAGAAAACCCGCTCCTTGGAAGGCGCGGGCACTACTTGGGGATTGCGCCCCAGAGGCGAAGGTCCCGCTCCCTTCCCCAAGTCCCAGCAGCGAGCGTGTGTGCTCCCGGCCCAGGGGCCTGACCTTTTCCGTGGCCAAGGGGTGAACCTTGGCGGAGGAGGCCCCCTCCCTTTCTTGTTTTTCCCTTTGGACTTCTTGGACACGGGCAAGAATTAAGGGCTAAGAGATGACCAAGGAAAAGACGGAAAAGCTCCTGCTAAGAGGGGACTTTGATGGAAAGGTCGTCTGGGTGGGTGATGGTGAAGCCCTGTGCAGACCCCGCGGCGACTGAGAGGCTGCTGACGGGGGCAGAAAACACGCGGCGGGAGCAGGGAAACGAACCAGCGGCCACAGTCGCAGCTGGAGAACGGAGCAGGGGCCGTGCGCCGCGGTGAAGGTGCCAAGAGGCCCGCAGGAAGGGTGGGAGGTGTGCTGAAGCCGCGGCGCAGCAAACCGCCCCAGCCCCGCTGCGGACAGTGGGGCCCGAGGAGGCCCGGGCCGGGCCTTCCCCCGGCGGCGGGCTCCCGCTCCGACAGAACAAAGCCCCGCGGCCGGCGGCCTCACCCGGTTGTAGAGGACTTCGGGCTGCCGGTTGGGGGCCGGCACGGCCTGGGAGGAGGCGGCCGACAGGAGGCGGCGGCCCAGGCGGGGCCCGAGGCCCGCGGCAGCGAGCGCGGCGGCGCGCAACATGCTGCGGCGGGAGCGGGCCTGCAGGACGGAGCGCCGACGCCGTGTGCGGGGCGGCCCGCGGGCGCTGCGGGACCCGGGTCACCGCGGCCGCGACCTCCCCCGCCCGCGCGCGGCGGCCAATGGGCAGGCGCGGGGCGGGGCGGGGCGGGGCGCGGGCGCCGTGCCCGCCCCCGCCCCCGCCCCCGCCCCCGCCCCCGCCCCCGCCCCCGCCCCCGCCCCCGCCCGAGCCCGCTTCCCGCGGCGCGGCGCGCGCAGGGTGTAACCCGGCCCCGCGAACTCAGCGTGCTCGGGGCCTCTCGGGTGTGCCCGAGCCCTGACGCCGACAGGCCTGACCCGGAGCATCCCGGGCCCCGACCTGCTGGGGCTGCCGTGGGAGCCGTGGGAGAGGCCGGCCTCGCCCAGACGCGAGGGGATTTGGGAAACGGGTAACGGACTCCAGAACGAGTGGGTCGGAGGCGCGGTTGGAGCCGAGAGCGCAGCTTTTAACTCCCTGGGTCAGGAAGTGACACGTGAGGCCCGAAGCGTCTTCAGAAGATCTTACGCGTCGGCGAGGAGTTCACAGAAGGATGACCTGCTTGGTTGGCATCTTAAACTCACCGGCTTCTCTCTTAAAAAAAAAAAAAAAAAGTGTTTTTTATTATTTATTTACTTATTTATTTGAGACAGAGAGAGCATGAACCGGGCGGGGAAGGGGGCGGAGTGGGAGGGAGGGAGAGAGAAGCAGGCTCCTCACTGAACAGGGAGCCCGACCCAGCCGATCCCAGGACCCCAGGATCAGGACCTGAGCACAAGGCAGACACCTAACCCGCTGAGCCGCTCAGGGGCCCCCTCCTACCGGTTTCTCCTGGTAGAGACGATGGACCACAAGAGAGCACGGGTGGGGGCAAGGATCTTGCAAACTGTTTAATTCCTGGAACATCCTGGAGCTGGGCGCCCGGGAGGCAGGGAGGAAGCAGAGCAGGTTCTCTAGGAAGGGGGACGGGATACAGGGTCAGATGTGTGCATTTCAACCAGATAGTATCAGTGACAGTCTAATAAGGTTAAGAAACCTGGCAGGAAGATCTGGGCTATGTTTTGACAAAAAGGAAGCAGAGGAAAGGGATCTAGGCAGCAAGTGTGTAGGTTGCTATTGAGGCTCCAGCTCCTGGAACCTGGGCTGAAGAGGTCGACCAATGCCAGGTATCAAATACCAAGTATCAAGTACCAGGCAAAGGTGTTGATCTAAGGTCTGAAGGAGACGCACAGAGTGTGGTGTGTGTGTGTGTGTGTGTGTGTGTGTGTGTCTGAAGAGCTATTGTGGTATCAAAAGGATAACACAATAATGAACAGAGCTGCTATAACAGATATGTCACAAAATTCCAGTGATCTACAATAAAGTCCCTGTTCATGTTGTGTGTCACCCAGATGTTCTCTCCAGGCAGGAGCTCAGGAAACCAGGCTCTTCTCCTTGTATGACTCTGATGTTAATACCTGATTCCCAGAGTCACCCTGGAGCTCAGAGTCACTTCAGACAACCAGAGTAGAAAAAAAGCATTAAATATGGCACACGGGATGTTTTTATGGCTGAGCCTGTTTCATTGGCTCTTCAGTCATTTGGCCATTCTTCCATATAAGGGAGTTTGGAGAATGAACTGTGTGACCAGGAAGAAGGGGCAATAGGTTTGGAAATCAGCTGCAGATAGTCAACTGGAAAGTGAACTGCCCTCTTTTCTGAATGCAGCACTCATTTCCTCTTCCCCAAGACATCTTGCTTTTTTCACTTAATGATGTGTGTGGAAGATGGTTTTGCACCAGCACACAATGAAAGTGTCCCTTTTCTCTTTAATACTTACAGAGAATTCCATGGGATTCATGTGCCATTTTTATTTAAAGAATTTCCTATGGGTGGACTTTTGGGCTATTTCCAACCTTTTGCCTTTATAAACAATGCCAAAATATATATCCTTGACTTACTTGGGAAATTCATAGAAACGGAGCTGCTAAAATCAAAGGGTATTAACAATTTTAATTGTACATTGGCTCTGGAACAAGGGGTTTGAACTATGCAGGTCCATACTCGTGCAAGTTTTTTAGAGTACTATAAATTTATTTTCTTTTCCTTATGATTTTCTTAACATTTTCATTTCTCTAGCCTATTTTATTGTACAAATGGGGAACATAATGCATATATAAAATATGTTAATTAACTCGATGTTATCAGAAGTCTTCTCGTCAACAATAGGCTAGTTAAGTTTTGGGGGCCTCAAAAGTTGCATGTAGATTTTCAACTGCATGGGAGGGTCAGTGCCCCAACCTCTGGTTGTTCAAGGGTTAACTGTAGATATTGCTGTATTACCCTCCATAGAAGTTTGATTAATTTACAACTACCCCCCCCATCTTATATGAGTTTCCTCACATCTTCGAAATACAATTTATCAGGTTTTTAATTAAAATTTTTTTTAAGATTTTATTTATATATTCATGAGAGACACACACACGCACACACAGAGGCAGAGACATAGGCAGAGAGAAAAGCAGCCTCCATGCAGGGAGCCCAATGTGGGACTTGATCCTGGGACTCCAGGATCACCCCCTGGACCAAAGGCAGGGGCTCAACTGCTGAGCCACCCAGGTGTCCCTGTCAGGTTATTTATTTATTTATTTATTTATTTTTAAGATTTTTTAAAAAGATTTTATTTGTTTATTCATGAGAGGCACAGAGAGAGAGGCAGAGACATAGGCAGAGGGAGAAGCAGGCTCCCTGCAGGGAGCCTGATGTGGGACTCAATCCCAGGACCCCGGGGGGATCATGACAAGCTGAAGGCAGATGCTCAATCACTGAGCCACCTAGGTGCCCCCTATCAGGTTTTTTAAAGCTTTATTAATCAGATAGGTGAAAAATACCATTTCACTATATTAATTTGCATTTCTCTTTTCAAGAGTGAGCTTGAACATTTTTCTATATGAAGTCATGTGTCCTTCCTCTTCTACAAACTAACTGTTCAGGTACCTTGTTCATTTTTCCATTGGATTCTTGTTGGTTTCTTTAAAACTGATTTGTAAATGCTTTATATATATATCAGTGCAATTAACATTATATGGTGCAAATATTTTCTATCAATCATCACTGATCTTTACCTAGTTTATGCCTTTTTTTTTTTTTGGTTTTGGTTTTGTCTTAAGGTTTTTATCGTTGTTTGGGGCAGGGCGGGGTGTTTCTTTTCTCTATTTTAAGTTTACTTATTTATTTAAGTAATGTCCACACCCATTGTCAGGCTCGAACCCATGAACCCAAGATCAAGAGTTGCATGGTCTTCTGACTGAGCTAGCCAGGCACCTCATCTAGTATTTTCTTTTATATCTGTGGCTTTTATGTCATGCCTAGAAAGCCCCTTCCACTCAGATTATTTTTTAAATGTCTCCTATATTTTTTCTGTTATTTTTCCCTTTAACATTTTATTTATTTATTTATTTATTTATTTATTTATTTATTTATTTATTTATTTATTTGAGAGAGCAAGCAAAAGCATGGGGAGCAGCAGACAGAGCATACCCTCTGTTACTTGTTTTTCAACTTTATGGAGATATAACTGACAAAGTTGTGTAAGTTCACAGTTCCCTCATATATTGCAAAGTGATCGCCACCATAGTGTTAGCTAACACTGCCATCATGGTACATAATTACTGTTTTTTTGTGTGTATGGTAAGAACATTTAAGGGGAACCTGGGTTGTCAGTCAGTTAAGCATCTGCTTTTGGCTCAGGTCATGATCCTGGGGTCCTGAGATGGAAGCTTGCATTAGTCTCTCTGTTCAGTGGGGGGTCTGCTTCTCCCTCTCCCTCTGCCTGCTGCTCTTCCTGCTTGTGTACGTAGGTACGTAGGTATGTGCTCTCTCTCTGTCAAATAAATAAATAAAATCTTTTTTAAAAATTTAAGATACACTCTTTTAGCAACTTCCAAGTATATAAATATATAAAAACAATACTAGTCATTGTAATCACCATGCTGTACAGATCCCCAGAACTTATTCATCTTATAACCAGAAGTTTGTACCCTTGACCAACATTTTACCATTTCCTTCATCACCTAGCCCCAGGTAACCACCTTTTTGTCAGTTTGGCTTTTTTAGATTCCAAATGTAATAGAGATCTTCCAGCATTTATCTTTTTTGTTTGACTTACCTCACTTAACGTAACGCCCTGAAGTTTCATTCATGTTGCAAATGGCAGGGTTTCTTTCTTTCTCATGGCTGAATCATATTCCATTGTATTCATATACATTTTCTTTATCCATTCATCAATTGCTGGACGCTTAGATTGTTTCCGTATCTCAGCTGTTGTGAATAATGCTGCAGTGAATATGAAAGTGCAGATATCTCTTCAAAATCGTGTTTTCATTTCCTTTGGATATATACTCAAGTGGCATTGTTGGACCATATGGTAGTTTTGTTTTGTTTAGATTTATTTGTTTATTTTGGACAGCAAGTGCATGCAGGAGGGATGGGGAGAGAGAGAGTTGCAAGCCGTCTCCCTGCTGAGCTCTGAGCCCTACGCAGGGTTGGATCCCATGACCCTGAGATCATGACCTGAGCCAAAATCAAGAGTCAGATGCTTAACCACCCGAGCCACCCAGGTGCCCTATGATAGTTCTATTTTTAATTTTTTTAGGAAACTTCACACTGTTTTCCATAGTAGTTGCACCAACATACGTTCCCACCAACAGTGCACAAGGATTCCCTTTCTCCATGTACCCACCAACACTTACTATCTTGTCTTTTTGATGATAGCCATTCTAACAGGTGTGAGATAACGCCTCATTGTGGTTTCGAATTGCATATCCCTGATGATGAGTGATGTTGAACATCTTTCCCTGTACCTGATGGCCATTCGTGTGTCTTCTTTGGGAATATGTTTGTTCAATTCCTCTATGTTTTTAATAAGATAGGGATTTTTTTTGCCATTGAATTGTGCAAGTTCTTTATATATTTTGGATATTAACCCCTTATCAGATACATAATTTGCAAATATTTTCTTTCTATTCCTCTTACTTTTGTTGATTCTTTCACAGGGTAGAAGCTTTTCAGGTTGATGTACCCTCACTAATAATTTTTGCTTTTGCTGCTGGTGCTTTTGAAGTATTTTACACTCTAAAATGTGATTCTTTTATTAATTTTGATAGGAAGGAAAGATTTAGAGATCCAATTTTTTTTCTTTTTAAAGATTTTATGCATTTATTTGACAGCACAAGCAGGGAGAGTGGCAGAGGGATAGAAGGAGACAGACAGAGGCTCCCTGATGAGTAGGGAGCCCAATGTGGGGCTTTATCTCAGGACCCCGGAATCATGACCTGAGCCTAAGGCAGATGCTCAACTGAGTGAGCCACCCAAGTGCCCCTTTTTCTTTTTTTTTAAGTTTCTCAGTATATCTAACACAATTATTCAATAATCTCCCCCACACCATTATGAAAAGCCATCTTTTGTATACTAAGTGCCCTTAAGTAGTTGAATATTCCTGAATTATATTCTGTTTCCTGGATCTGTCACTTTATATCCCAGTAGGTTGCTGTTTTGATCACTGTACTTTTCTTGTAAGTCTTGTACTATCATTTTTATCATTTTTCTTAATCAAGATATTTAAGCCTGGAGGTGACAAGTTTGCAAATGTACTTTGAGGGATCCTCTAGAGATGACATAGAAAATTGGTTGTAGAGAGGAGACAGGCCCGTGGCAGAGAGCTGACATGAGAGATGACAAGGGCCTCTTTAAAAGCAGTGGGGCTGGGCAGCCCCGGTGGCACAGCGGTTTTGTGCCGCCTGCAGCCCAGGGTGTGATCCTGGAGACCCAGGATCGAGTCCCATATCAGGCTCCCTGCATGGAGCCTGCTTCTCCCTCGGCCTGTGTCTCTGCTCCCCCCCCCCCCCCCGTCACTCATAAATAAATGAAATCTTAAAAAAAAACAGTGGGGATGGAGGGGAGGGAGCACGTAGAGGTAGAATTGATGGGTCTCTGCCTGAGATCAAAGCGAAGGAGGAGCAGAAGATGGTGCTGGGTTTCTACCCTGTGCTGTTTGCCAAGAAGGGAAAGCTGTAAATTTGGTTGTGGGGATAGGAGGAGGAAATTCATTAGCTTACAGACATTCATATATGTTGTGGGCCGCAACGTGCCTGGGCCTGGGTCCCTGCCAGGAGACCAGTGCATGGGTGCATGGTTGTGTGTTGCGGTGCAGCATGCACTTTGGCTCACAGATTTATTTACCTTAGTTTGTCCATCCGTGATGCTCACCAGCTCCCACCAGCAGGTCTTAGTTTTGGGGGCCCGTCTTCCCCATGTCCATCCTACCCTCTGTTTAAGGAAATTTTACCTATCAAGATTCTGGCCAAATCCCATCTTCCAGAGAAGTCTTCCACAACCACGTTAGCCTTCATCAGCTGCTTTCACACAATCTTTAATTCAAAGTCATCCAAATGCTGCGACTAAAATCAACTGGATATGCTGAAACCTTAAAATACTTACGGCTCTGTGTGATTCAGGCTGTCCAAAGCATTAACTAAAATTGAACTCTCCACCTAGATTTCTCCCTGACAGCATGTGCTTGTCTTTTATCTCTTCTTTCTTTTAATTCATTTTCTTGCTCTTAAGGCTTTGTTCTGATTTTTTTTTTAATTCTCATTTTCCTTAGATCCATCTTTCTCTCTTGCTCCCCATTGCACTTTGTCTGTGGACTCTGCCAGGAAATGAACTGACAAAAGCAAAGTCTCCTTGAAGGCAGAAGCATAAAGCAGGGAGAGGAAGTAAGCAAGCAAAATGAAATTTCTTTCTAGCCCGATGCAGCCAGGAGAGATGTGAACCCTTGGACGTGAGTGTGTCGGTGTTGTGTTCCCACTGTGCTGCGATCTCTGGGAGAAGCACCAGATTCAGGAAGAGTCATTTCAGTTGCTGAGGCAATACAAACTCTGAGCTTTGCAATACTTCACAACATTTCATGGTTGGAGCCCAATTGTGTGTTTTCAGGTTGAAAATAATCTAGTTCCACCTTCTTTCTCTAACGGGTGGTAACTGAGGTATCCTTTGGAGTCGCAGAGTGGTGAGATTTTAGCTATTTGGTTAGTATCTGTTTCTGGAACCCTGACTCTATCTAATGGAAGCTTCCCCCCTGCCCAAACAATAGATGTGAGGTGCTTTAATTTTTTTTATTTTAAATATTTATTTATTTATTTAGAGCAGAGGGGGAGGGGCAGAGAAAGCGAGAGAATCCCAAGCAGACTCCCCATCATTAAATGCAGAGCTTGATATGGGGCTCAATCTCAGGACCTGAGCTGAAATCAAGAGCTGAAATCAAGATGCTCAACTGATGAGCCACCCAGGTGACCCCAAAGCAACATTTAAACAGGAAGATATCCTGCCTTAGGAGCAGGAGAAAGATGTAGTATAGCCCTAGGCCCAGGCTGCCCTCCTTACCTGCACATACACAGAAACTTGTGGCACACAGCTGGCCCGGCATCCCACACATGCCACCAGGCTGACAGAGCAGACCTCTCCATGCCATGCTGGCTGCACCCCAAAAGCAGTCTGAGATATTCCCAAGATTACCCAGCTTCGAGAGTAGAATCATTGCGAGAAATTCACATACTTTCTTTATGGCAGGACATGCTCCCCTTAACTAGATGGGGCTACCTTTTCCTCCTTCTCCTTTTCCAGGTGAGGCAGCCAGCACCTCTCAGGAAGCCCTACAGAGATCATAAAAATCCATGCCTCAGAGTAGAAAGAGCTCTGCCATCTCTGATTTTAGGTTCAAGTTCAGTGAACTTAAGCAAGTCTCTTTGAACTTCAGTTTTCTCACCTCCAAAATGGGCAGAGAAAAAGTAGTGGCTAATTATTGTAAGGGCTCAAGGTGTAATATTCTTGCACCTAGGCTGTACTAAATACCTAGTGGCTATTATTCTATCCAGGTGGTACAACCTCACTCCCAGGGGAGTCTAGTCATATGCCTCATTCTTGCTTCTCCAGG